GTGGGGGGGGGGGGTTGGCTTGCGCGACGGTACGCGCACGTTCTATCAGCTAAGCTACGAGGCCACACCGACAGCACTGATCTTTTCACATTTGAATTTACCCATCCAACTTACTGAGGCATATGCCATCTACCAGTTAGCATGTTAGCTGATTGCCCGGACAGGTTTGCCTTAGAATCCACTGGAGTCCACCGAATGAGCTTCTAGACAAGGTTAATTGTTCAAATTGTTATTGGCAGATTTTAGGTGTCGCCCCGTAGCTCAGCTGGTAGAATGTGTGTACAAGGCGTAGGTGGCGTTCATGCGTGTGTTCGAAGTCCACCGAGGCTACTGAACTTTTCACAATCAACGTACAAACCTCAAATCTGCCAATAACAATTTGAACAATAATTATTATCTCCAGTTCTACAGTAGGGTGAAGAAACTCGGTTTGCGGCGATAGAAAGATTTGTGATAACCGGCAAAGAGGACTGGACGGCTGTTTCATCCTGTTTGTGACTCATATCCCTGTCAGAACTCAAACCCAAAGCCATCAACCGTGCCTGGTGCATGTGCACAAACAAATGAATTATTCCGAATTTACCACACTTAAACTCATTTTTCCTCCATATGTGCGTCTACTCAGATGCCCCAAACGTAGAAAAAAGGGTTTTGATATGGGTTGTCAGCTGGTCAATCGTGTGTTCAGATGTTACAGAATGGTTACAGTGAATTTGCAAAATGGAAAGTTGGTATTGTTATTTTATTGAAAAAATGCAGTGTGGTCATGCACTTCGCGGAGTGCAGGAAAATAATAATCACTTCCAAGTTTGATGTTTGATTGCACTTTTTTGAGTGCATTTCACTACTACTAAATGAGATTTTCTGCCGTCGGTTAGATGTGCAGTTCGTCCTGGTTTCAGTTTCACTTTTTACAACCATTAAGCGTGCACTTTCGTGCGCCGGTAGTGGTTGCTGTCTTTTGGTTGCCCATTTGGATAAAACAGCGAAATGAAGATTGGAATGTCGAAGAAAATTCAAGCGGAAGATGGGGAATACATAAAGTGGTGTCAGGAAAATAACGAGTGGATGCACGAGCGCCATTGTTTGCGACACCCAGCCATATCACTCAGTGTAGCTAACCACCGCTGACCATCATCCCGAGGTCCCCAACCAGGGAGCCTAACGAGACCTATGTGACCTAGTGACATGCGTGACACATGTCCCAACCAACGTAATCTATGGAGGTCGATCACTTGCTCTAGTGGACGACCGCGACTGCTTAAAACTCTACGCCT